CCCACTCCCACTCGGAGGCTCAAAGGCCCTCATTCACAAGCCTTACGCTCTGGCTGGCTTCTTTCTCTGAGAGACTTATGTACTTGCCTGAGCTTTCTGCTCACTCAGCCGTCCTCAGCTTCATTCCCTATTCACTCCTCCTCCTCCCCCAGCTGACTCCCCATCTGGGCACAGATCAACCTCTCCAACCTGCAAGTCATCTCCCTCTCATATAGTCCTGTAGAAGTTACTGTCTGTACAATACACCAAGCACTTAATGCATATATTTACATAATTTTAAGCTATATGATTACCTCCTAAAATGTATTTTAATTTCTAAAGGGACCTTATATTTCTGTTATAATAAACTGCTTTTACGTAATGCTTTACAGTTTCATATAATTCTCAATAAATATGTTGGTGAGTTAAAAGAGAATGCTTCAGTAATGATGTGTAGAAAACTTGGAGAGCTCATTCCCTAAAGATCTGGGATAAAGATACTCCTCTTCCTACAACCCTCAAATAATAGTTAATGGTGGGGAAAAGTTCATTTCATAACTTAAACAAAAAAACACAACCACACACTTCACACCCAGTGACCAGATCTTGTTTCTAAATACCATTTTCCAATGAAAGGAACTGGGGCCCTTTGGAGAAATGGCTCAATATACGGTTGGGCAGGGAAAATATAAGATGAGCCAGGAGCTTCTTGCAGTACTAAAAATAAGGAAAAGCTCAAAAAAGGATGGGGAATGTCAAAGGCATATAGGAGCCAATCTGAAAGAGTGCCCAATGGCCAAAGCCAGAATAACAAAATTCACATAGTATTAGATGAGTCCATGTGAATATAAATTATTGAATAAATAAATGGGGAGAAGAAACAAATCTTCCTTTTAGAAGAATTCCAGATAATATACATATATACTCTCCCCTCCAGGAGATGGAGCTAAATCCCCACTCCCCTTGATGAAGGGTTAGACTTATTTTGAAATTCAAACAGCACATGAAAAGGAGAAAAACAGTAACTTTCCAGTGGAAAAACTTGGCAGACAGCACCTTTACCAACTGATGTCATGTGGGGATCCTTCACCTACAAGGGGAATGAGAAAGGCACTTCACCTCTATGATCTTCTTTCCAAAAACCTGTTGCCCTAATGTAATCATGAGAACATTAAACAAATCTAAACTGAGGGATGTTCCGCAACACACTTCTGCACACCTCAAAACTGTCAAGGTCATGAAACACAAGGAGAAGACTGAGAAACTATCGCAGACACAAGAGAACAAGGAGAAGTAACTGCAATGTAGCATTCTGGACTGGATCTTGGAACAGAAAAAGGCCATTAATAGAGTTAACGTTAACGTATCAATGCTAGTTTTTTACTTTTGACAAGCGTACCACAGTTATATAAGATTAGAACTAATTAGGGGTAGGTTGTACACCTGAAACTAATATAATATTGTACGTGAAATGTAATTGAAAAATTTAAAAAATTACTTAACACTGAAACTGGGCAAGGGGACATGAGAACTCTCTTGGACGAATATCACAACTTCTCTGTAGGTCTAAAAGTACTCAAAAATTAAGAATTATAAAAAAGAAAACTTCAGAGATCTAGATCAAATATGGAGAAGTGCCCTGTATCAAAATCAAAAGATCTGCCATAGCCCAGCTCAGTGGGTGAGCACCGACCTATGATCCAGGGGATCGCAGTTCAACTCCCAGTCAGGGCACAGGCTTGGGTTTCAGGCTCGATCCCCAGCAGGGGCCATGCAGGAGGCAGCGGATCACAATGACCTTCTTTCATCATTGATGTTTCTATCTCTCTCCCCCTCTCTGGGGGGGGAAAAAAAAAAAAAAAAGCCATAAGTTTTCAGTGCCATTAGCCCAGCGGGCCTCTAACTTGCAGCCAATGCTGATTTTCCCTCCTTCCTTCCTTTCTCGGTAAGTGTTCTACACTAACATGCAGTATCTGAGCCCCAACTGGACATTTTCCTAAGTCCTTTGGGTGAAAAGATGATCAGAAAACAAAAGTCTGAACAACCTGGTACAAGGAATATAAAGTTTATATGAATGCTTGTGAATAAAGGCATTTCAAAGTTTTGGAATCTAGTTCATTTTACCAGATATTTAAGTCTCCGTAGGAGTTTTAAAATAACAAAAACAGATTCAAGCACTTTGGCTGCTCAAATGAAACCCCTCNTAAAACTCCTACGGAGACTTAAATAACAAAAACAGATTCAAGCACTTTGGCTGCTCAAATGAAACCCCTCCCCAAAAGATGGTAATTCAGTAAACAGTTTATCTGAAGAACACTTAAAATAGAAGGCATTTAATTTTCAGTTTAATCAGGTAATCCACAATTAATGGCAGGATAAACTTTTATTAATAAAACATCTATTTTCTCAGTCAAGTTGATAGATGTTTTGTTAAATCTACACACCGGAAGTGTGTAGGATTTTTCTGAAACTTTTACAATAGATAAAACTAGGCTAGTCTGGGAGATCTCAGAATGTAAAGTCACAGTAAACACAACCCCCTAGTGTTGATCTTCATTGCTATACACTCCAAAAATAATGTATCTCTAACCAAAACCAAACCAAACCCCAAACCCCCACAAAAACAAAAATCTAGCACAAATGAATTCAGATTCAGTAGTTTAAATAATAATGTTGGCAAATCCTATCTTATTCATGTGACATACGTCTCAGAAATCAATTATGATGTAAATAATAATTAGCTATCTAGTATTTTAAATATAAAGCCAAGTGTTACCTCAAGCCTGAGTCAAGGTCATAAAGGACTTATCCATCCAATTCAATTAACTGACCTAAGCATTTTTTAGTATTATTTTTATATTAATAGCCAATTACTTCCCCCTTCTAACAACTTAGTACACTTATTCTATAGAGTGAAGTTTCAGAACAATTTTTTCATTTTTAAGAATATTCTATAGATCCAAAATAGACTACCAGAAAAACAATGAGAAATGAAAGAAATCTCTTGTCACCCTTAGAACTACTGAGCTCTAAACTCACGAGACAATTCTAAATTGAGAAATTTAAAAAAGAAGAGGCAATATAAAAACTCCTAAAATGTAGAAGAAATTAGACTAGTTTAGTTTTCTTTAATATCTTTAATAAGACATTACAGCACACAACTGAGCCCCCCGGGTGTCAGTTAAACAAGGGGATGTAGATCCATACCACCGAGAATGGAAACAAGTTTAATCTTAACCCCGGCCCTTTTGGCAACTAACGGGACTACAGAATACAATGGACAAATTCTCTCTGAATTTTATCAAGTCTTTGAAGACACCATAACAGTTTTATAACAAACTTTGCTGTGATCTGTTAAAGAATCTTCAAATTAAACAAGGATGTTTAAGAATTTTAACTTTCTCCTTATAGCTGATTTAGCTCAAACACAATAAACAGGGATCGTACTAATAATCCTCACATAGAGGATGAGAATTAATGTCTTATGCAAGATCAATGCAGCTATTCCCATCACTGAAATATAGTTAAATATATGCCTTCAGCTGCTTTATAAAAAGGGGTTAAACACAAGAAAAAAAAAGCTTTTACTCTGAATTAGTCAGTAAAACAAATGAAAAAAAATTTAAACCAAAACTTGTGAATGGTTTTTAAATGATTTGTTGCTAAACATAAACATACATATGTTCAAAGCACTTTAAAAAACCTTTAAATTGTAATTTAACCAGAACTTCTATAATACCCACCACAAGCAATTAGGCAAATTCTAATGCTCTGGTAATCAGCATATAGGGAAATAACATTAAACCTGAAACTCAGGAAATTAAATACATGAAAAAAAATCAATTATTTTGAAGTAATAGTATAAGAATAGGAATTGCTAGGAAACTATCACCATTGAAGATTTTCCTTGAAAATGTCTTATTTTAAACTTACAGTGAAGACAAACAAGGTGGGCAGAATATGCATAGCTACAAAACAAATGTAGTGATGAGTTACAGCAAAAAGAGGGAATGCACTTTTTAATCCACAGGATCAGATTTGTGGCTCTAAGCAATAACCAGTATTTGAGTGTTCTTCCTATTAACTTTAAATTTTAAATTGAGTTACAGCAGTTTCACTTGTAAAGTTAATAGCAGACAAAAGCAAATTAGAGGAACCCTAAAATTAGTCTCCCTTAACTGGGTAGGATTTACCTCATCCATCTGAACCAACCCACTTCCTCCCCATCCTTGGAACCAAATGAATGTGGATATTGGCATATTTTAATACTTTTCTAGTTCAGACAGAAGTCATACTGTACACAGTCTTTGATTTTAGGAACCAGCACGAAGTAAACTCCTAAAATCAATGACTCAAAAAGGAAAGGAGGGAGAGGTCCTGGGAATGAACTCAGCCACAAGTCATTCCAATCTTCCTGTTAATGCAAAATCCATTCTAGAATTGGTCAAATCATTAACTTCCAAAACTCCTCCAATTATGCATTTCAATTTCAAATTAAAGAACTTGAAAAATTTTCAAAAAATCCAACATAATTTATAAAAGACTAATCTTTACCAGTTCACATATGTTCCATCATATTTTGTACTAAATGATTAGGCTTCCTGATTATTATGACATATACTTCAGAGCCTAGTTTTTCAGAAGGGCTCACTAACGAACCAACAGCTTTAGGAATTTATCACTTATCTACAGGGTATACCTGGCTGGTGGCTATAGCCAAGTCACACAGCAAGTTGAAATGCTCCAACCTCAAACACAGGAAACAATCAGAGGGGAAAATGACACGTGATCGCAATATACTAAGGCAGCAGGTAAGTCATTCTTCACCTAGATCGAGGCTGCCAATAAAATTGTGTACACAAATTTAATGAATAAGTCTGCTCTAGTTTAACTAACGAACCTGCCACTGAGCTGAGAGGGAGATAGGAATTGAGCTTACAATTCTAGCTGATGAATTCAATAGATTTTTATAAGGCAAATAATGTGGAAAGTTAGAACAGAATTTCTAGAACCATTTATCCTGTGATGTTGTAAAATCAAAGTACTACTTTATTAAACGAGTTATTTTACACAATATGAACATCAATATAATTACAATTGTAAAAAATTTCTTTATAACAAGGATGGACTGATTTTCAGATTTCCAAATTAGAGTCAACTGTACATTTACACAGAATTGTCTTTGCATGAAGCCCAAAAGGGAACAGCATAAAAATGAGTGTTTCTGTAGCCCCTTTATTTTTGCTGATCAACAGTTTGTTAGAAAAGCAGCTGCAGGTTTGTTACCTAAGGTCTGAGACAGTAGAAGAGTCAAAGGTGTCATGAATTCACCTATAAGACACAAGCAAAATTTTCTGTGAAAGTAAGCATCACACAAATGCAACTTATGTCCATATCAAATGCCTAAGAAAAAACACACAACATGCCTAAGCTATCAAGTTAGTGTGATAGGTCTGTCAACAGGATTTTATAAACAGAACTTTGATTAACTTACTTAAAAAAAAAATCTCACACCACTACCATCACCACAACCTCTTTAGGAGGAAAACAACCCCAACTGCACAGAAAATGTAAACTGATTATTTTCAAGCAAATACCAAGTTTATACAGTGGACCTACATTTTGCCCTATATTTTAATACACTTAGAAGCTCTGCTATGCACTAATAAAATACCTGCAAAAGGTACTCAGGAACAGTGCTCTGCATCATTCCTAAGCAAGACCCTCAATACCTTTGTAAAGTTATTTTCATTAAGCTAACAAGTCTCTTCTATCCTAAGACCAGAACTGGCAAGCATCCCTTCATCCCCCCATTTTTGGCTACAGTAGTAAAAAGAACTTCTTTGTAGTTAGGAGTTTCTATTTCATCAGAATATGATCTGGGAAAATGGACTTTTAATAATTGTAAAGTTAAACATTAACTTAAAAAGGGGAAGCAATCAAATCTCAGCTAGAAGGTAAAAGTCAATTTCACAGTTACAGAAGACAATTTTGTTCCTGTATACAACCCTGACATTAACCCCCCAACCCCCCACCAAAAAAGGTCAATTACCTGTAAACAACTTTATGCCTGGACATCAGCCAATTCTGGAGGAAGTGGAGTCTTAGGATGCTTGCTCTCAAAGTGCTGCTTGAAGGTCTTAGGGTCTGGCATTTGTGTCTAATTACAAAAATTGTACAAAAAAAGAGACCTTACTCATAAAAGAAAAATGTGTGAACTTTTAAAATCATGAGCCTGCTTATGCTAGACAACTGATGGCATATAAAAAATGACCATGTAATAAAGATATTCCTAACATATTCCCCACTTTCACATAGTTGGGTCACAGAGAATGAATTCTGCTTATCTAATAGCAAATACGTAGCTTGCACTGAATTATTAGTATGTTAAGCATTATACCTGAATTCTCATTGAACCTTCATAGTTATCTTAAATTAGTTCCTACTATCCTCATTTTACATAAGGAAACTAAATCCTAGAGCTTAATTTGCCCAATACCTATGCTTTAACCTAGCACTTGGTACTGCAGTTCTCAAATACACTATCCTGACGCTCCTAGGCAAGGATCTTCAATTACTTATTCTTTAGAACATTCAATTAAACAAAACATACAGGTTTTTTGTTGTTTTGAGTTTTTGAAATATGTGAACTACTCTAGTACTTTCATGTCAAAGTATTTATCAGTAATTTAGTGAATTTACTTTTACCCTGCATCTCTCCAAATAGAATCTGAAGCTATTCAATTTCATTATTTTGAGTGTACCAAAGCTCATTATGAACAAGATATTTAACATAATAGATCTTCTCTCTTTGGAACTTCTGTGCACTAACTTCAAGGATGGTGAGCTTAAACAAACAGCAAGAAAGAGACTGTGGCTTGAAAAACTTAAGTTTTGTCCAGAGGGTGAATTCTGGAGCTGGACTACCTGGGTTTAGATCCCCACTCTTCTATGTACTAGCTGAGTGCAAGTTATACAACCTCCATGACTCAATTTATTCTTCTGTAAAATGAATATAATAAAAGCACTTTATCTCACTGGGTGGTTGTGTGGGTTTATGGGCTCATACATGTAATACCTGGATCAGTGCCTGGCACATGTAAGCACTCAATAGCAGCTGCTATTATCATTCTCCAAATCTAATAAAACACATTAATTCAATAAAAGCCCTCAATGTTAACAAACTATATAGTTTTACAGACATCCTAACCATGGACTTACTGATGAGAAAAAAAAGCCAATCATATAACGAGTTTTACTCACTGGTATCTTACATAGTCTTACATAGTTCTAAGTTAAGAATGTGGATCTGACTTCTTTACAAAGTTCAAAGTGTACTTTCACCTAAGAAGGCATCTTTCATCTCCCTGAGGAAAGGGACTGTGCTTTGTTCACTCGTTTCCCCACCTGGGAAACTGAAAGAAAGATGGATTCCTAAACTGCCTGGGAAACTGAAAGAAAGATGGATTCCTAAAATAACCAGTTCTCAAACCTACTATTTCAAGTAAAGCATTTATTTTGTCATGGTTGCAAAATTTTAACCTATACAAACCAATCTCTAATGAAAGAACTATCCATGGGAAAGCTATGTCTTTCAGTTTCCCTTACCCTACAGACAGTGCAGGTATATATTAAGGCAGCTTTGGCAGCAGCCTTTTGGTCATGTCCTTGTTTCTTCTTTTGTCCAGCTTGCTTTTTGGCATTTTTCTGCTGAGACTGAATCTTCTGCTGTCCACGAGCCATATCTAAAAACAGAAGTTGAAGCATTAGAGTGATTACTTTGTATTTAAAGTAAATAAATCTAAACATGATAACAGAGTTGATGGCTTAAGTCAACAACTGTTAATCAAAATGTATGAGTTTTCAAATTCTCACATACAATGCTATTAGAGAATAAACTGGTATAACCACCGTGGAAAACTGTCTGTAGTTGCTTACTCTATAACCTAACAATTCCACATTGGTAAATATCCAACAGAAATGCAAATGCATGTACACAAAAAGACACAGCATGAGAATGCTCAGAGCTATTGTTTCCGACACTAGAAATAATCCAAATGTCTATTAATAGTGGATACATAACTTGTATATTTATACAATGAAATACTATACAGCATTCAAAAAGGAAAGAACTATGTTATAGGTAACATGACCATATCTCAGTATTAAAGGAAAGAAGCCCAATACAAAGAACATGCTTCATAAAGTTCAAAACAGGCAAATCTAACCTGGAAGGTAGTGGATAGGAAGAGCACGAGGGGAACTTTTGGGGTGCTGACAGTGTTCTATATGTTGATCTGGGTAATGGTTATGCAGGTGTGTACACTGGTAAAAATCACTGAGCTATACCTAAGATTTTTGTACATTACTACATGTAATCTTTAAGAGTTTAGCCAAAAAAGTTTGGCCTCCTTTCCCAATCATTTGTTTGGTCACTCTGCAAAGGTACTTTCCCTTTCCAGTATTCACTGTTGTGACCTGAGACTTAAAACTTGACGAGAAATAAGAGCTGTCATCTAATGCCTCTAAAGGAGATCATAGAAGTAATGCCTCTAAAGGAGATCAAGAAAGCCAACTGTTCTCTTAAATACTTAGGTTTCATAAAACTACTGTGCTATTCTAAATCTTCCTTAAAAATTGGTCTTTGCAGGAATGCTGGACAAGTTATTGTTGCCAGTTGAGAGAATAAACCTTATAAAAAGGGTAAAGATACTTACATACCACTTTCTACTACTGATAGAAAATTTTAAACTTTTAAATCATTGCAGGACATGAACATACAATGGATCTACCTCAACTTCACCAGAAAGGAGTGCTGGCCTTTTTTTTTTTTTTTTCCTTTTACTGGAACCCTAACTAGTTAATGGATATGAGGTCAAAGCATTTCATAGAAACACCTGAGCTTCTCCCAAAAAGAAAAAGGGAAATGGAAGAAATACACCAATTGGACCAGTTCCCTCTAGCATTAAACACTGAACTGAAAGTCAAATAAAACGTAGAGGAGGATCAGTGCTTTTCTAGGAAGCCAGTTGGGTATTTTAACAAATTACAAAAATGTTTAGTATGCTAGCCTAATATAAGAGATCTACTCTTACCACAATGGCAAATATTACCAGATGTGTTAGTCCTTGAAGATTAAACTTCCATTTTTGTTTCTGTTTTTAACCAAATTTTTTAAACCATTTGGCTTGGAAAGATTTTTTTTTTTTATAGTACCTTTAAGTCCAAATGTTACGGCAAGCTTACAAACCTATCCCCATGGAAACAGGTTTAGATACTTATATACTATTTGGATGATAGTACTGTAGTTAGGCATTCAATCATTATGTACATATGCTTCTAACGTCTCAATGTCTTAGTATCTTAAGTTTGAGTACTTCAGTCCTCTCCTGCATCTGAACTCTTCCTTGCAATGTATGCTATGTATGTTAATACACTGATTGTGTGGGTAACCTCTTAACTGCTTTACACTGAAAAAACCATAAATGACAGGCCACTAATTATAGACGTTTCTTTGATATCTAGAAATGATTAGCTATTCTGATAACATTTTCAGGCAGTAATCTGTACAAAGCAGTCATTAGATACACATTCTTTTTAAACTTTTGTACTTACGATTTCTCCTAAAATAAAACATTACACAGCACTTAACCCATTTTTCCATTGTATCTAAAATTAAACAAGAAAGCCACAAAAGCTTTAATAAATAAGAGACTACAGTAGCTTTTTCTGACTTTTAAAATAGAAAACTTAATATCCGGGAAAGGAAATAGAATCAAACAGTTTAGAGACGTGGGGCAGGCTCCTAACTTCTAACAATATACTGCACTGATTTCCTTTCTGAAAGCAGAAATGCAAACGAACCAACCACCTGCTTTTGGACAGTTGAACTTAGGACGTGCTCTCAAGCCCACTGAATTTTCTACAAAACCTTAAGCATAACTGCTCCTTGACTAAACGTGACAAAATGAGGGATTAAGAAGCCACTTACAAACACCTAAAAGCTTTTTGGTTTTTAATATAACTCAGTGTGGTTTTCTGAAGGGGCTGCAAAGACGGAAGCAGTAAAAAGAATGAGCTCTTTTGGAGCGAGGAGCTCCTGCGAGTAAGAGGCGGCAACAAGTAAGCGCTGCCCAAAGGTTCCCTTAAAACCCAAACCAGACGGTCGGTCGAGACAAGGTTCTGGATCCAGGAAGTAGGCTCGTCCCCGGTAACCATCCGACACGCAGCGGCGCGCAGGGATCGCCGTCCTGACCCCCGTTTCTCACCACAGCCTTCTGCCAGGGGGCAGATGGAAGCGCCAGCACCAAGGCCCCTTTCACCCAGCCCTTCGCTGGCCTCGCTGCGGGCTCGCCCACCTTCCCTCCCAGACCCGCCAGGGGAGCCCCCTCCTCTCCGGCCACTGAAGGGCCACACAGCCCGCGCCGACCCTCCACTCCTCACGGACCCCGGCCAGGACGCGCCTCCCGGAGGCCCTGACTGCCCGAAACCAACCCCTTCGGCAACGCGGGGCCCCGGCGTCGAGAAACCGGGCAGCTGCTGAGCCGGGAGTAAGGTTACCGCTCAGCTCCCGGGCCGGCCTGCGCCCCGGCCACCTGCAG